GTTTGGCAAAAAAAAAAAGTTTTGCAAAAAGTTTGGCAAAAAAAAAAAAAGTTTGGCAAAAAGTTTGGCCAAAAAAAAAAGTTTGGCAAAAAGTTTGGCAAAAAAAAAAAGTTTTGCAAAAAGTTTTGCAAAAAGTTTTGCCTTTGCAGGATGGAGCATGAAAGGTATGTACCCCCATGGAGTTTGATACCACTTTAACAGCTGCTGGTCTCTCCTGAGGAAGGAGGGGGAGGGATCCTGGGATCTGCAGTTTGGACCGGTGCTTAGCATCCTCCACTCACACCCTTGAACTGCAGCACTAGAGCTCTCAAGCAGAGAACTTCAAAGTCTCTGGCCATAAACTACACACCCCAGGATTCCCTTGCTAGTTCAGCAGTGTTTTTTTAATCGCTAACATCTATGGGGTGCAGATACTGGCCTTGCTATTTGCAGCTGGATGACTTGAGAACCCAGAAGTAAAGAATGCTTCTGTTAAAAGTCTTGAAATTGTATGTGTTGGCCACCTCGCACCTTCTCCAGTAACTGTAAATAGATTAACAAATTTGCAAATGTTTTGCCTTTGCAAAAAAAAAAAAAAAAAAAGTTTTGCCAAAGGATTCTGGGAGTGGCAGTGCAAAAAGGCACTTTTTCTAACCTGCAACATTTTTTGGGGAAAGGGACCAAGATCAGATCTTGAGTCTGAACCTCCCTCCAAGTCGCCCATGTCTATGGTGACCCCATGAATTTTGCAGGGTTTTCTTAGGCAAGGGATCCTCAGAGGTGGATTTGCCAGCTCCTTCTTCCTCTGAAATACAGCCTCCGGCATTTCGGATTTGTTGGCAATCTCCCATCCATGTACTAACCAGGGCTGATGCTGCTTAGCTTCCAGGTCTGTTGCTTTTAGGGTATTTAAACAGCTTAGGGGTATGTGTGCTTTCAATTTATGGCAACCCCAAGGAATTTTACATGGTTTTCTTAGGCAAAGATTTCCCAGAGGTGGTTTTTGCCAGTTCCTTCCTCTGAAATAGAGCTTACAGCCCTTGTAAGCACTGGCAGTCCTTTCAGGCTTGGGAAAAGTTCTTCTTTTTGGACTACTACTCCCAGAATTCCCTGGCTGGGGGGGATTCTGGGAATGGCAGTCCAAAAAGGCACTTTCCCCTCATGGTCTGAAAGTTCCAGCCTGTAACATTTGGGGAGAAAGGGACCAAGTCAGATCTTGAATCTGTACCTGCCTTCAAGTTGACTTATGGGCCCCCCATGAATTTCACAGGGTTTTCTTAGGCCAGAGGTTCTGCTGAAATATCAGCTACATCACCCAGTAAGCTGGCTGGGGGATTCTGGGAGTGGCAGTCCAAAACAGCACCTTTTTTCCTCATGGTCTGAAAACTTCATCCTGCAACATTTGGGAGAAAGGGACCCAGGTCAGTTCTTGATCTGTAGGTGCCTTCCAGTTGCCTGTCAACCTTATGGCAACCCCATGAATTTCACAGGGTTTTCTTAGGAAAAGAATCCGCAGAGGTGGTTTCCCCCCCCCCCCCAATTCCTTCCTCTGAAATAGAGCCTACAGCACATAGGATTCCTTGGCAGTCTACCATCCTGGTTCCCCCCATAAATTTCATTGAGGTTTCTTGGGCAAGGAATCCCCAAGAGATGATTTTGCCTGCTCCTTCCTTTCAAATATAGCCTACATCTGGTGTTTCTTGGCGATCTCCCCTCCAAGTACTAACCAGGGCTGAACCTGTATAGCTTCCATGATCAGGCCAGATCTAGTGCCTTTAGGATGTTGAAGGCCCTATTTGTTGGATTAGGGTAACTGATTTTCCCCCGTCCATTAGCACTGAAGGCTCCGGAGATAACAAAACCCTGCAACAACACCATGAACTCAGATGTTCCCACCAGCTTACTCCCGAGTAAATGCACATAGGACAAATCGCAAGCAGCATTTCTTATTCCTGAAGGGAAACTCAACTTATATTATACTTGTCTTTGTATTTCTTGTGTATGTGTGTGGGTGCATGCCTTCAAATCACCTGTTGACTTCTGGTGACCCATTGAATTTTGCAAGGTTTTCTTAGGCAAGGAATCCTCAGAGGTGGCTTGACCTGTTCCTTATTGCTGGAGTAGCATCAATGCTTGCAATTTGACCCCAACAATATTTGAAACACTTATTGCTTAATAATTGAATACACTTCTGATTGATAGTCAACTTGCAACTTTGCAAGGTCAACTTGCAAAGGAGTCGTGATGGTCGGGTTTTGCTAGATCGTTTTCGAAGGGACTCGACTTCCCTTAACCTAGACTTGCGCCTCTATATACAAGGACCAAAATGGGTTCGATGCCCCTTAATACGGATTCTGCCTCCCAGTTAAAATTCCCTTCAGTTCCCAAATTTCTTAGAGCGGGGACATTGAAAATCATTCACACCTAGAAGTCTGTTCTGTTTGCTCTGTTCACATTCCCTTGGTCACTTGGCCTGTCCCTTTTTTTGTGTGGGGGGGGATGTGTAAACTGGATTTTGAAAAGCTCAGCTGATGTTTAAACTTATTGCAGTGCCAGAAATTTGGGAAATTGCAGTTGGAGGCAGAATTTTTTTTATTTTGGAGGGAGGCGATGTCTTATTTGTGGGGGGCATACATCTAGCAGCAACATCCCCTGGATCCTGTATGTTTTCAAGATTATATGGAGGCTTCACTTCTCTGGTCAGTCTGAATGGAAAGAGTGGGAGTTTGGCCTGGAGAAATTGCCTTCACCATTGGTCACTCTAGATCCAGGATCAGATGGCAACACTTACTTACTCTAAATAAATTGGTATTGATAAATAAATGGGAGAATGTTTCAAAGAGATGTGGATATCTGCTCAGGTGGAGTTGGTTTTTGTGTCCCTTCAAGTCATTTCTGACTTATGGCCAACTCTAAGGCAAACCCATCCCAGGGTTTTCTTGGCTAGATTTGTTTAGAGAGGGTTTGCCTTTACCAGCCTTGGAGGCCAAGACAGTGTGACTTACCCAAGGTAAGGTTTCTATGGCTGAGCAGGGATTCGAACCCTGGTCTCTGGAGTTGTAGTCCAATGCACAAAATAGGTGGCTGGGTTTATTTGGCAGCCTGGCAGAGAGCCAGTGTGGCGTAGTGGTTTGTGCATTGGACTACAACTCCGGAGAACAGGGTTCTTATCCAACTCAGCCATGTTAATGCACTGAGTGAGCTTGGGCAAGTCACACACTCTCAGCCTCAGAGGAAGGGCAAGGACAAACTTCCTCTGAACACCTTGGAGCACCGTAAGTCGGAAACAACTTGAAGGCACATGGCAACAACAACAGCAACAACAGTTCTCTCTTCTCTCTTTCCTAAATCTCGGAAGTGCTATAAGATCCCTTTCCATACGTCTTTGAATCCTAACAACAACATTGTGGCAGTATGCAACTCTAAAGCATCATGTGAGATGCTCACAATGAAGGAAGAAGGTTTGAGACTCTTGTTTTTCAAAGCTTCTAGTCCTCATTGCCAAGCACATGGGAAGTGCAATTAAATGTTCATATTATGCGTGCATTAAATTGAAAGAGTTAAAAGCAGTGCACCTGAGGAAGCAGATTTTAGTCTAGGAAAGCTCCTGCTGCCAACTTCTTTCTTTCAGTTATCCTCAAAGGTGCTACAAGACCTCTCTATATATTGATTATACAGATTAACATGGCTATGTCTTTGAATGTGGAAGATCGGTAAGGTTAGATATTGATTGGGTATTTTATCCCATGAGCCATGCTCACTAAATTGTTTTAAAATTTTTATTGTAAAGTTTTAAAAAATGCTTTTTATCTTGTGAGCTGCCTTGGGTCCCTTTCTGGGAGAAAGGCAGCATAGAGATGATGATGATGATGATGATGATGATGATAATGTATTTAGGAGTTGGCTGTTGCACTTCAGATGAGGAGAGGAGCTCTGTATGGAGATTTTCACATGAGCAAAAGTGACAGGAGCCTAGCAGAATGCTCCTATCACTGTCACACAATTGAGTGAAGATTGTCAG